CCCCCCCATTTCAAATTGCAAAAGCCAATGGCAGGCTGGCTATTGCACCCGCCCACTGAGCAGACCACTCACACTGTGCCCCACCCCATTTCAAATTGCAAAATTTGCAGGCTGGCTATTGCACCCGCCCACTGAGCAGAGGAGCGATACTAAGTGACAACATTCTCTCTCAGGTCCGCTCCTCTGCTCAGCTGCCGGTGTTTCAATATCCAGTCTGCTGTTTGGCTATTTTAAATTAAAATAGCCAATAGCAGTCTGGCTATTGTCCCGGCTACTTACATCCATCTATCGCCTGTGGAAGCTTGGAGGGGGCCTGGGGGCGTGCAAGTAGCTGGTCTTGCCTAAGGCGCAAAATAGTCTAGCACCGGCCCTGATCACATGGTATTAAAACCAACATTGTCCTCAGAAAAAGTTGACATAGACACAAAAGAGCATGTCTGATAAGAATAACAGGAAAGTGGGGGCGGGACTAAAAAGATGGAGGTTGTTATCTGACTGCAGATCTCTGTGACCTCAATAAAGCTTTAATATTTTCATTACATGTCTTTAGTGGCACTTTGCTCAATCTTCATAGTCCCACCCACATTTTCCTGTTACAGCAATGTATAAATATGGCTGGGCACCCCAACAGACATCAGAGTTGCACCCAGACAGTAATCAGCACTCAGTAACAGACCAGATCAGACATGCCCCCCTCTCTGGTCTGACACACCCCATATCTTATCTGACAGCTTCCCCTTCTCTGCAATACCGTATGAGGATACTTGAAATGTGGGTGTGGCTGCTACTCAGCTCTGCTATCACAGAGCACTGGAGGGGGAGGGCAGGAAGCAGCATTCTCACTGTAAGAAAAAGGTATTTTAAGGCATTTCCAGACAGAAATAACAAATCATGACATGGAGTACAAGACCCCACAGAGATAAGAAGGGCGAGACTTCAACAGGGCTTTAAAACCAAAGAAAATGCCTTGCATAGTATAGATGCAATCAGTACACACTATGAACATTGGCCTTAGTTAGTGCAATAGCCCTCCCCATCCTAATCCTCCCTCCAAGACCCCGGTCTGAAATTCACTCTTTAAAATGGAATTGCAGTAAAGGACAATATGGGGAAAGTTTTGAGGTAATACATAAAATGTGTTGATCAATCACATAGCAATCATCAATTAAAGTGATGGGGAACAGGGAGGATTAGATCCTCTGTTAGGGTATTATTGCTGTCTTAGTCCCCGCCCGGGAGACTCCCCCTCTCTGTATGTCATGGTGTCACCAAGACAAAGGTGTGGGGGGGGGCCCCCAAAAATTTGGAGTTGTCATCAGAGCAAGATGAGAGGGACAAATCCTCCAACGGGGACACCTTTGCCTGGGACAACTCTCTAAGCTGTGTCTCCAGGACAGAAAGTAAAATATATACAGTGGGGGGAATTTATCAAAACTGGAGCAAACAGAATCTGGAGCAGTTGCCCATAGCAACCAATCAGCATCTGTGTTCAGTTTGCTCTGTTGAGATTGGAAAATGAGACACAGAAGCTGATTGGTTGCAATGCAAATCTGCTCCACATTTTGTCTACTCCAGTGTTGATAAATTTCCCCCGGTATATATACATATATACATTTCATGGGTGGCCTCCTCATCTCCACCTTTGTACATCATTCCATGTTATATACACATCAGGCCCACACGTGGATTGGGATGGGGCTCAGAGGTTGGAGGTCCCGGAGTTTGTTTGAGTTTGTTTGACTTAGATAGGACGGTGAGAGGTCGGAGGAAGACCAGGAGAATGATTAATCGGTCGGGAGGGGGGACAATGCTGTGTAACTTCCAACTAAATAAAGACAATTGATGACTTCAATCACCTGCCCTCTGCCATACCGCTACCAATAGAGGAAACCAATGATTGATGTATTGCAGCTGGCCAGTCCTTGGATGTGTTGGCTCATTTTTTTTCAGGCTTTGTTCTCTTTATTTTCACCTTTTGATTTGCCACTCACACACTTCCTGTCCTAGGGTGACAACGCTCACTGTACTGTATCTATAGAGGCGCAGGGTTGCCACCCTAGGATAGGGCTACAGGCAGTGGTGTATCTTGGTTTTGTGCTGCCCTAGGCAAGACTAAACCCAACATGGGATACAATGCGCACGGTGCATCTAGATTCTGACAGGTTGCACTATCAGGGTAGCGAGACGCTCTAGTTCTACAGAACCCAGGGGCCATCTTCTGCCTTGGCCCCTGGGTTCTGTAGCTCGCCCTGCTCTAGAGACATAACCCAGCACGGAGGTGCCGATGAGCACGTTGACCATCTGGATCTCACTCCTCCGCTGCCTGAAGTCAGACATTTGGGTGCCGGTTTCCCAGGGAGGTCCGAACTGCCAGTGCATCTGGATGAAGGTCACACACACCAATACATTGCACAGCACATTGACCAGGAAGAGGAAGGAGCTGCAGCATACATGTAGGAGTAGGCGGCATAGGTGGACACGTTGTATCCCCCAGTCAAAGAAGCACCAGGTCCCTGAGTACTGGCAGTAATTTATGAATAATTTATAATAGAATTGTATTTTTTTGGCGCCCCCTGGAAAGTGCCGCCCTAGGCAAATGCCTAGTTTGCCTTGCAGTAGATACACCCCTGGCTACAGGACATCTCTCCCTCTTCTCATCTCCATAACATAGAGGGGAAGTGTTCTGCAATGGGCTTATAATGGCTCCTGAGAGTTACAAAAGCTCCTCTAGATAGTAGACACTATTTTTGCTAAACTTTTGTCAAAGGTGCAGTCAGTCTTCGCTGTGAAATGAGCTGCGCTGTAATCAGACGACTCTTCCTGATTCTCTGATGTTAAAGTAGAACTGAAGTAGAATTTTGGTTAGAACAAGGGAGGGCGATAACCCCTATCACCTTTTTTATCATCTGTGTCCATTGGGGAGATTTCCCTTTTACTTCCTGTCTGACAGCTACAACAGGAAGTGAGAGGAAATCCTTCCAAACAGAGGGAAATCCGTGATGGTCATCAGGGTCACAGTAGTGTCTCCATTGGAAGATTTCCTATCTATTCCAGTTCTGGTGACAACCCAAAATTTGTGATTTTCTTTCCCTTTCAGTGACATCGGTCATCAGGACAAATATATAAACTTCTCAACGCCTTCTATATTTTAGATCTTTCTGGCCGCGCTCTGTTTCTCGTACTTCTCTAAAGCGTTTTCGGGGAGTTACATGAAAAGTTCCATTACGCAGATCGAGCGCCGCTTCGACATCTCCTCCTCCACGGTGGGAATGGTGGATGGAAGTTTTGAAATTGGTAAATATCTGATTGCGGTTTTATTCCTGGATTGCGGTTTGATTCTTGGACAATGCGCTCTTTAACGCTGCTCTAATCCCTCCCACCGCCAGGAAATCTGCTGGTGATCGCCTTCGTCAGCTATTTCGGGGCGAAGCTGCACCGACCGCGGATCATCGCCGCTGGCTGCATTGTGATGTCGCTGGGGAGTTTCCTCACCGCCATGCCACACTTCTTCATGGGACCGTATGTGATGACCGCCCATGGGGCTGTGCAGTGTTTTATGGGGGTGGGGGAGGGGGGGTCAGTCTGGTCAGTGAAGGGGTAACAGACGTCTCCGTGTTTTCACAGGTATAAATATGAATCGTCGAGGGCTCATACCGCATCGTCGCTCAGTAATGTCACGGAGAGCATCTCCCCATGTATGTCCAATCAGATTCCTCTCTCTCCTCCGGACATAGGTAAGAGTTCTCACAACAGAGCCTGAACTATATACACAGTCATATTGCTAAATCTGTTTTTAATTGCCAAATCTTCCAGCATAGGTGAGACAAAGAGAACTCAACTGCATATTCATTCATATTCAGAATAAATTGAATTATTATCTCCTTACCAGCAATATACAGTACAGTTTGTATGTTGTGCAACAGTGCTGCCCCCTGGTGGCTTTTATTATTATTATTATTATTATTATCATCATCATCATGTGACTTGGGAGGAAAAGTTTTGTGTTCAATTGTTATTATCATTCTTATAATTCTTCTTCTTATTATTATTATCATCATTATTATTGTTTGTGACTTGGGAGGAAAAGTTTTGTGTTCAATTTTGTTTGCAGGTAATTTTTGTTTCACTTCTGTTATTCTGAGTTTATTCGAATGATATACATTTTTTTAAAATCAAATGTAAACTGAGATATTTTCCTACACACAGCTAGCTTGCTTCAAAGCCGAACTCCAGCAAATAAATAAATACAAATTATTAAACCTGATAAAAGTGAAAAAAATCCCCTGCTGTACTCAGGGACGTATTTACTCTCTCTGCTGCCCCAAGGCCAGGTTCCTCAATGCGCCTCCCTATATGCAGGCTCCATACAAGTGATCTTGGTGACATTGCCGAGATAACTTGTACAAAACAAGCAGCGGCTTCCCCACTGAACTGCATGTCCCGGGCGTCAGGAGATGGGAATTCCACAGCCCTGCTGCCCCTCTGCTCCCTGCTGCCCAGAGGCCAGACCTCGGTTGGCCTTGTGGGAAATCCAGCCCTGGCTGTACTTCCTCGCTGACACAACATGTGCAGTGTCATTAAGCCCAGTTCCTCTGAGCCCACCCCTGAGGAGGTGTCACCATGCAGCCTGAGGAGTTCTTCTCTGGTGGACTACAGAACACCTTTTCCCTCTCCTCATCTCCATAACATAGGGAAGAGGTGTTCTGTAGTCCACATAGGAGAACTGGACAGGGCTTCCCACACTGCTTGGGAGTACATTATTTCAGTACTGCGTTGTCAGCTCAGCTTGCATCATTTATAAAGGGTTGCCAATCTTTCATAAAACAAGAAAGTGACCACTGCAGGGCTATTGCTGTCAGTCTGACCCGGCATTAATAATTGTCTACATGTGTGTGTTTACACTGAAATGTGCACAATACATGCTAAGAAGCCCAGGTATGATGCCAAAAATGAAAGAACTTTGCTCTTCCTCATCCTAATAAATACACTGAACTGTTTAGGTTGGGAGGGCAAGGACATGTCTTTATTGATTTTACACAATGTACTTATAGCAAACATAACGGCAAACAACAAGGAATTTCCAGCTGATAACAAGGCTGAACAAGCTGAACTGTGAGGTTCCAACTAACATAACACAGCTTAAAGGTCCACTTTAGCCTAAAGTTAATGGTATGCGTCCAGCAACCGAGATCCCACTGATGGGATCAATATGAAGCCATATGATCGCTGGAACCCCACCAATAAAGCTGCGACAGTAACAAGAAAGTAGGGCGGGAGGATGGAAACTCGGAAAAACCCTCAACCTAAAGGCCGTCCTAACCAAAAGTTAATGGTAGGCGTCCAGCTGTAACACCTCGGGTAGTTTCGGGGTTTGTGGATCGCAACTGCGGAGGCTACTCAGACGGAACCCTGGTTTCACTCCCAATCTTAACGGGGAGTTAGGGTTCAAGCATCACAGCCAAAAGAAACAAAAAAGGAAGAAGGGATATTACAGCATATTCCCTATCTTGATATAGTACCCTCAATTTGTAATGGTTAGGAATGATAACTGAAATTCAGGAGTGTAACAGCCTTAGTTAGAGTCAATGATGTAATCTCCCAACAGTCCACTAGATAGAGCACAAGAGCTACTCCACGTTTCTTAGTTATACAGTCACTAAGGTTTAAGCTGCAGTGCAATGAGCACAAGTACTTGCTGTTTAAGTGGAGGCAGTTAAGGTGCAGGGGTCCAGGAGCAATCGATCCAGAGATGTGTAGCGGCCTGCAGGCGAGTAGAAGAGCAGTGGGGTCCCAGGAGACAGTAGGCGTTATAATAATTAGGTATTGACTTGCAATGTAAAATAATGAATGCACATTCAAAAAGTTTACGCATATCAAGTTTGTAGTATGACCGTACCTGAAAATCCGAGGTAGATAGGTGTAGTTTCGGCAAGTTCTGAGGTTTAAATAGAGGTGGCTGATGCGGACGTCTTGATAGGCGCGCAGGCGCAGTGTCAGGCTCGGTTACAGACTCTGCAATAGTCATCGATTTCAATGCTTCCAGGGGGCATGCGCAGTAGCTAGCGTCTGTGTAGCTTCACAACTTCAGGTCACCGGATGTGACGTCAGAGGTTCGTGAGGTCGATAGGTCCACAGTGCCGACAGAACACCGGCGGCGAGAAGCGGCGGAACCGTGCCCTCCCCGGACCCCAGGTGAGCGGAGTCGGCGGTTCTCGTTACACCAGCAACCCAGATCCCACTCATGGGATCAATATGAGGCCATATGATCACTGGCAACATGACAAGGTAAACCCCACCAATAAAGCTGTGACAGTAACAAGAAAGTAGGGTGGGAACTGGGAAGAAGCCTCAACCTAAAGGCCGTGGCGTCCTAACCAAAAGTTAATGGTAGGCATTCAACTACCCAGATCCCACTCATGGATTCAATATGAGGCCATTTTATTGTTGGAAACTTGGCAAAGTAACCACACAAATAAAGCTGTGATAGTAACAAAAAAGTAGGGTGGGAGGATGTAAACTCGGAAGAAACCTCAAGTTAATGCAACTTGTACCAACCAAAAAAAAATAGTCAATAACATTCATTTAATTGCATATTCACATAGCATGGCACAATAAGCCCCCAATAACCTTGTAACGCGCTCCCGGCAGCCAAGAGACCCTTCACTGTGGTCCATGGTCTGTTTTGTGGTCAATGGTCTGTTTTGTGGTCCATGGTTTGTTTTGTGGTCCATGGTCTGTTCAATCTTGTTTTGTTACATTGTATTTCAGAGTGCAGCAAGACAGGCAACAACATGTGGGTGTACATCCTAATTGGGAACATGCTGCGTGGAATCGGAGAGACTCCCATCACCCCGTTGGGTATTTCATACATTGATGATTTTGCCGAAAGTGAAAACACGGCTCTCTATCTGGGTAAAATCCTCCACTGCCTCTTTACATGACATATTGATACAGATACAGTCCATAGATATAGACGTATATACACTATATAGGTATAGAGATATGGATACATACACTGTACCTTATAAGAAAGTGGTTTCAGTTCAATATCAAATAATTTTTTAATGTTTATGTTGATACATTAAACTGATGTTTTAGATTAGTTGGTAACTATTCATACAAAATAAACTTTTAATAAAAGGGAGCAACCATGACACAAGATTACCAGAAGTTAAATATTAAAGGAGAACTATGGGGTTAGGGCTTTTCCCCATAGTTCTCCTTAGGGTAACGGGAGGACACAAACTAGCGTCCTCCCATCACCCAAAGCTCAGTATACCGCAAGCTGCTGCTCGCGGTATACTGAGATGCCGCAGCTGAAGCAGATCCCGACAATTATGTCTGGATCCGTCCAGCTGCGTGAGTGACAGCTGGCTCTGCCTACCTAGGGGCAGAGCCAGCTGTACCCGTCCCCTCCCCCGTCCGTTCCGCCAGTCAGCGCTGGAGGATCGGAGCGGGGAGGGGGGAATGCAGCCCCTCCCCTGTCACGGCAGAGAGCCGTGACAGGATCGAGAGGTGAGCGAACGATGGTATGTGTTCGCTCACCTCCCGATCTACTGAGCCGACCTGTGACAGTTTCATTGTCACAGGTCGGCTAGAACTATGAGGTGAGTGAAAAGCACTTACCTCATAGTTCTCCTTTAAGAATGCATTCAAGTACCTTAACTATTAACAAAAATGTATCGTATTTGTGTATCACTCGGCTGTAGATCCTCAAGTCCCTGTGCCTGTTGTAAAGTATCCACTGTTACAAACTCACTCCTGTGATGGACTACAATCTCAATACAAATTAGTAAAGTAAACCTGAGATTGTAGTCCTTTGAGCTTGGAGTGGTGGCTACTTTACAACACACACAGGGACCATGGGGAACAAAAGTAGCCGCCCTCCAGAAGGAAGGACAGTGTCAGCACCAATTCAGAGATGATTGGAGGATCTACAGCCGAGAGAGTAGAGCAGTAGTTGTCTCCTTTCAGGCACTCTGTCTCTGATTGCAACCTCAGATTAATCTATATGGAAGAACGGGGTGGGGTTACTGTTCTGGTACATAGCTTGAGCTATTGACCTTTGTATGCAACGGGCAACAACCAGCAGGCTAAAAATGACAATGTAAAATATTCATATGTAATATTCTATCTTTCCCTGAGTATAAAAAGTTTCATTTTTTTACAGTAGTGGAAAAGAAAGAAAACATACCAAACTATTATTCATATAGAACCAAAAGGATAACTGTGCCTGTTTATTAGGATTTTCTTTATAGTTATCATGTATCTTATGTTGTGGAGAGCGCTTATCTTACTCTATTTCTACCCTGTAGCGTTTCTGCATGCGGTGGGTCTGTTTGGTCCAATGGCCGGCTTCATGTTGGGTTCCTTCTTTGCCAAACTCTACGTTGATGTTGGCTTTGTGGATATGGGTGAGTCTATAGCATTAAGGTCAAGGACTAATAATACTGATTCTTGGATTGACTTTCAGGGAGCTTTAGAACAAATCTTATATAGTTTTACATTATATAGAGCAATATCGAGGTCATAATGTAAAGATCACATCGCTTTCCACAAAAGTGTGTGTTGTGCTACCTATATATACTATTTCATTTATCATTCACACAAGATATAATTAATAGAGCTGCAACAACTAATCAATGTAGTCGATTAAAATCGACGATAGAAAACGTTGTCAACGTTCTCCATCATCGATTAGTCGGCTATCGATTAGTTAGCCTGCTCGCGGCTCCACACACGACCCACGCCTCTCCTCCTCCCCTCCCAGCTTTGAGCTCCCTGACTCGCCGCTGCCCGCCAACGATTGAGGGGGAACGGCACCTGACAGGCCCACGATTAGGGTTCCCACCTTTTCTTTCAGCAAAACCCGAACACTCTAGCAACGTACGGAAATTTTTGGGGGAGAGTGAGTCGAGGCTTATTCATATGTAAATCTCGCATCCAAAAATGAGAGTGCCTGCTCCCACCACACATGGCGATTGTTTTTTTTAAATGTATTGCTGGGATAGTGGGAACTGTTGTATTCTCAAGGTGAGTGAAAAGCACTTACCTCATAGTTCTCCTTTAAGAATGCATTCAAGTACCTTAACTATTAACAAAAATGTATCGTATTTGTGTATCACTCGGCTGTAGATCCTCAAGTCCCTGTGCCTGTTGTAAAGTATCCACTGTTACAAACTCACTCCTGTGATGGACTACAATCTCAATACAAATTAGTAAAGTAAACCTGAGATTGTAGTCCTTTGAGCTTGGAGTGGTGGCTACTTTACAACACACACAGGGACCATGGGGAACAAAAGTAGCCGCCCTCCAGAAGGAAGGACAGTGTCAGCACCAATTCAGAGATGATTGGAGGATCTACAGCCGAGAGAGTAGAGCAGTAGTTGTCTCCTTTCAGGCACTCTGTCTCTGATTGCAACCTCAGATTAATCTATATGGAAGAACGGGGTGGGGTTACTGTTCTGGTACATAGCTTGAGCTATTGACCTTTGTATGCAACGGGCAACAACCAGCAGGCTAAAAATGACAATGTAAAATATTCATATGTAATATTCTATCTTTCCCTGAGTATAAAAAGTTTCATTTTTTTACAGTAGTGGAAAAGAAAGAAAACATACCAAACTATTATTCATATAGAACCAAAAGGATAACTGTGCCTGTTTATTAGGATTTTCTTTATAGTTATCATGTATCTTATGTTGTGGAGAGCGCTTATCTTACTCTATTTCTACCCTGTAGCGTTTCTGCATGCGGTGGGTCTGTTTGGTCCAATGGCCGGCTTCATGTTGGGTTCCTTCTTTGCCAAACTCTACGTTGATGTTGGCTTTGTGGATATGGGTGAGTCTATAGCATTAAGGTCAAGGACTAATAATACTGATTCTTGGATTGACTTTCAGGGAGCTTTAGAACAAATCTTATATAGTTTTACATTATATAGAGCAATATCGAGGTCATAATGTAAAGATCACATCGCTTTCCACAAAAGTGTGTGTTGTGCTACCTATATATACTATTTCATTTATCATTCACACAAGATATAATTAATAGAGCTGCAACAACTAATCAATGTAGTCGATTAAAATCGACGATAGAAAACGTTGTCAACGTTCTCCATCATCGATTAGTCGGCTATCGATTAGTTAGCCTGCTCGCGGCTCCACACACGACCCACGCCTCTCCTCCTCCCCTCCCAGCTTTGAGCTCCCTGACTCGCCGCTGCCCGCCAACGATTGAGGGGGAACGGCACCTGACAGGCCCACGATTAGGGTTCCCACCTTTTCTTTCAGCAAAACCCGAACACTCTAGCAACGTACGGAAATTTTTGGGGGAGAGTGAGTCGAGGCTTATTCATATGTAAATCTCGCATCCAAAAATGAGAGTGCCTGCTCCCACCACACATGGCGATTGTTTTTTTTAAATGTATTGCTGGGATAGTGGGAACTGTTGTATTCTCTATAGCTGATGGTGCATTGCGCTGTATATATACCACCAGCTATAGAGGAATACATATCCCAGCAATACATTGTACACTGTATGTATAATGTATTGCTGGGATTTGTTGTATTTCTCTATGGCTGGTGGTATATTCTGCATTGCGCTGTATAATCATACAGCACAATCATTTACCACCAGCTATAGAGGAATACCACAAATTCCAACCAGCAATAATACATTATACAGCGGCGCAATGCGCGCAGAATACTACCAGCTATAGAGGAATACAACAAATCCCAGCAATACATTATACAGCGCAATGCAGAATACCGCCAGCTATAATATATTATTACTGGGATTTGTTGTATTCCTCTATAGCTGGGGGTATTCTGCATTGTGCTGTATAATGTACTATTGCTGGGATTTGTAGTCCTCTATAGCTGGTGCCATTCTGCATTGATTGCTGTATAATTTTACACTTTCCATTTCACTATATTGCACACCACACTTTTTTTTTTCTCCCACCGCTTCAAGCTTGCTCACTGGAGCCATTTTTTTCTATCCGATTAACCGATTAATCGAACTTAATAATCGTCTAACTAATCGATTTTGAAAATAGTCGTTAGCTGCAGTCCTAATAATTAATCTTCATAAAAGTATCACATGGAATACATTTTCCAGCTGCTGTTCTGCAATAGTTGGTGGAAAATAAATATAACAAGGCAGTAATAATAGAATGTCAGCATCTGGGTGCCATGGCAATGTACAAACACATATATCAGTGAATGTACTTCTTGCAGACGAGGTGACCATCTCCCCGCAGGACACGCGATGGGTGGGCGCCTGGTGGATGGGATTCCTTGTCGCCGGTGTAGTCAGCCTGCTGGCGGCCATTCCATTCTGCTTCCTGCCGAAGAGTATGAAGAAGCCGGAGGGACAGAAGTCCCCCAACTTACTGATATTTAAAGAGAAAGAAATGATGGAGCCTCAGAAAAAGGCGACTATAAAAGGTGAGAGATCTGCCAGTGGCTTTTGCAATGTATTGCTGGGATAGTGGGAACTGTTGTATTCTCTATAGCTGATGGTGCATTGCGCTGTATATATACCACCAGCTATAGAGGAATACATATCCCAGCAATACATTGTACACTGTATGTATAATGTATTGCTGGGATTTGTTGTATTTCTCTATGGCTGGTGGTATATTCTGCATTGCGCTGTATAATCATACAGCACAATCATTTACCACCAGCTATAGAGGAATACCACAAATTCCAACCAGCAATAATACATTATACAGCGGCGCAATGCGCGCAGAATACTACCAGCTATAGAGGAATACAACAAATCCCAGCAATACATTATACAGCGCAATGCAGAATACCGCCAGCTATAATATATTATTACTGGGATTTGTTGTATTCCTCTATAGCTGGGGGTATTCTGCATTGTGCTGTATAATGTACTATTGCTGGGATTTGTAGTCCTCTATAGCTGGTGCCATTCTGCATTGATTGCTGTATAATTTTACACTTTCCATTTCACTATATTGCACACCACACTTTTTTTTTTCTCCCACCGCTTCAAGCTTGCTCACTGGAGCCATTTTTTTCTATCCGATTAACCGATTAATCGAACTTAATAATCGTCTAACTAATCGATTTTGAAAATAGTCGTTAGCTGCAGTCCTAATAATTAATCTTCATAAAAGTATCACATGGAATACATTTTCCAGCTGCTGTTCTGCAATAGTTGGTGGAAAATAAATATAACAAGGCAGTAATAATAGAATGTCAGCATCTGGGTGCCATGGCAATGTACAAACACATATATCAGTGAATGTACTTCTTGCAGACGAGGTGACCATCTCCCCGCAGGACACGCGATGGGTGGGCGCCTGGTGGATGGGATTCCTTGTCGCCGGTGTAGTCAGCCTGCTGGCGGCCATTCCATTCTGCTTCCTGCCGAAGAGTATGAAGAAGCCGGAGGGACAGAAGTCCCCCAACTTACTGATATTTAAAGAGAAAGAAATGATGGAGCCTCAGAAAAAGGCGACTATAAAAGGTGAGAGATCTGCCAGTGGCTTTTGCATTCCCTTTAAGCAGTGGGAGTCCTGGATGATACAGAGAGCACCAATGCATCATGCTTTACATCAATACACTGGGAGTGCAGGGTGCCTTGCTCAGAGGACGGGGCCATGACACCCTGCACTAATAGCCTGTCCTCAGTCTTCCCGATTGAGTGTAATTCAGCCCAGAAGACTGAGGACATCTTGTGGCATAGAAGAGGTACTGCAGAGGACAGCACCAGATGGAACATGAGCATTGCAGCCTAAGCGGCTTCTGTTTTTTTAACTGCTTTCTGGGGGACATTAAAAAATAGCTCAGAGTTGGGATGTAACCTCAAGTGTGCCTTCCTTTCAGGCTTTATCCTGGCGCTGAAGAAACTGGCATGTAACCGTCTGTATGTCCTGCTGATGGTCATGACCCTGCTACAAGTGAACAGCTTCATTGGCTTCATAACATACAAACCTAAATACATGGAGCAGCAGTACGGACAGTCCATCTCCAGGTCCAACTTCATCACTGGTGAGTCCCGGACTAGCAGTCACATGACCTCATAATATCGCATTGGTACATTGAGAATATGGAACTGAATAAAGTCTCATGGTGCAATATTGACCTTTTAAAGTGTATGTAAATTCTACTTAATTGCTCCCATTTGGTCTGCTAAGTATACTTTTGAAAGTGTTCTCTAAGTGCAAAAAATAGCTGTTGATCTTACCAGAAACCTTGTGAGCTGATAACTTGATAACTTCCTGTGCTATTGACTTTTATCAGTTATATTGTTTCCAGCTATCTCTGTGAACTACAGAACCCCCCCCCCCCCCCCCGGGGCCACATAACCTTATCGCGCTGGGTGAACTCTCCTCCTCTCTCTGCCATTGTCCATCACAAAAATGGCTGCCGGTGTTCTATCGAAAACTCCAACTCCTCGAGATCTCCAACCATCTGACTTCCGGTTTAGTTAGAAGTAAGAGGTTTGGCTGAGAAGGCTCTACTGCACGTGCGCCACCCGCGGCATTTCACTTTACACATACTACACAGCAATAAAGTATTACAATTTAGTAGGGTCACACTAATTGGCCACAAGCGACGGACATATTGAGTGGCGACACTCAGATGAATAACGTGCCGGATTAGTCTGACCCTAGCTCATTTTAATACTTTATTGCTGTGTAGTATGTGTATAGGGAAATGCCACGGGTGGCACACGTGCAGGAGAGCCTTCTCGGCCAAACCTCTTACTTCTAACTAAACCGGAAGTCAGATGGTTGGAGATCTCGAGGAGTTGGAACTTTCGATAGAAAAACCGGCAGGTATCACCAAGATGGTCGTGCATGCGCGTGATGTCATCGCAAACGTACGTGGTGATGTCACACGCATGCGTGATGATGTCACAACGGGTTGTCACCCTGTACCCGCTCTGGGTGACACCCGGCTTCCGGACGTAGGGGAAGGCTAGAACCCCGGTCAGATTTTTATTCCTGTCTGTGTCGCAGTTTGAGGTTTTCCTTCACTTCCTCTCTGGTAAAACATTGGCAGCAGGACAGGAAGTGAGCGGGAATCTCTCCGACTAGCAGGAAAACTAGAAAAATTGTTTTTGTCTTAATGTACACCTAAATTTACATCTTTCTCTTGGGAATGACACATAATGAGCAGCAAATAAACCCAAGCATGATGGAAAATTTCTGTAGAAGACTTGAAACCTCCATTAGGCACGGATGTCACTCAAAAGAATGAAATGAAACATGAATTGGGTGTAGTAAGTGATGGATGATAATCACCAGTATATGGCTATTTCATCTGATGCGTAACAATTAGATTTTGTCATGTTGCAGGAGCCTCCTCCTTACCGGCGGCCGCTACCGGCATATTCCTCGGAGGGCTGATCATGAAGAAGTACAAGTTTGGTATACTGTCAGCGTCTAAAATGGCTTTTACTGCAACGCTTGTCTCCTTCCTCCTGTCTCTTTCTGTGTTTATGATTGGCTGCGAGAACAAAGATGTCGCTGGGATCACGGTGACTTACAACGGGCAAGTTGATCAATGACTTAAAAATGCATCACATACATCACAAATATTTTTCCCGACATCAGTCCTCTTTGTGACACGTCTGCAGAAACATACAGTGTTTTTTTCTGGTGATTGGTTTTTATATACTGTACATGTAACAAATAAATCAAGGCAACTGGACTTACAGTATTTTTCTTGAAGACGTTTCGCTGGTCATCCGACCAGCTTTCTCAATTCAGAACTTAGAATTGAGAAAGCTGGTTGGATGACCAGCAAAATGTCTTCCAGAACAATAAAGCAAGCCCAGTTACCTTGATTTATTTTTTACAGATATACATGACCTGGATGAATGAGAAGCTTCACAGACTTTTTTTGTATGTGTTTTGGATTTCAGACCTGTACTGGGATTCATTCACATTTGTGTTCATAGGCGTGATGCATCCCAAACTACATCTAAACAGGGAGAGGCATAGTATTGCTCTGAGGGTTAGCCCAGTGCCTGGAGAAGGTCCTCCCGCTCCCAAAGCAAACATGCCAAAGTGTGTCTCCTTAGTTGAGTTGAGAAGGAACATCCTTGAATACCAATACACAATTTACTGTGTTTTTTGCTGCACCAGTGAGGGGGAGTGTATTGCCTCCAGGCGAGCCTGCTCTCAATTTGTCACTATACAGTACATATACAGTATATAGATACAGTAATTTGCAAAAATATTGGCACCCCTGAATTTCTCTCAGATGATGCACCACTTTGCGCAGAAAATTGTTGCAATTACAAATGTTTAGGCATTCTCATGTTGGATGAGAAGGCCGGGCTGGCAGTCTCCGCTCTAATTCATCCCTAAGGTGTTCTATCGGGTTGAGGTCAGGACACTGGTGCGCAGTCATGTTGGAACAGGAAGGGGCCATCCCCAAACTGTTCTCACAAAGTTGGGAACATGAAATTGGCCAAAATGTCTTGGTGTGCGGATGCCTTCCTGATGTCCTGATGAAGTTCCCCTCATTGGAACTAAGGGGCCAAGCCCAACCCCTGAAAAACAACCGCACACCATAATCCCCCCTCCACCAAACTCTACACTGGGCACAATGCAGTTAGGCAAGTACCGTTCTCCTGGCAACCGCCAAACCCAGACACGTCCATCGGATTGCCAGACAGAGAAGCGTGATTGGTCACTCCAGAGAACACGTCTCCACTTCTCTAGAGTCCAGTGGCGGCGTGCTTTACACCACGGCATCCGACGCTTTGCATTGCACTTGGTGATGTAAGGCTTGGATGCAGCTGCTCGGCCATGGAAACCCATTCCATGAAGCTCTCTACGCACTGTTGTTGTGCCAATCTGAAGGCCACACGAAGTTTGGAGGTCTGTAGCTATTAACTCTGCAGACAGTTGGCGACTTCTGCGCACTGTGCGCTTCAGCATGTGCTGACCCCGCGCTGTCATTTTACGTGGCCTACCACTTCCTGGCTGAGTTGCTGTTGTTCCCAGTTGCTTCCACTTTGTTATAAAACCAGTAACAGGTGACCGTGGAATATTTAGTAGCAAGGAAATGTCACGGAACACCTGAATCCAATGATTTGGAGGGGTGTCCCAATACTTTTGGCAATATAGTGTATATGCCCCATAGCTGGGAACTGGCCATACACATCTTCCCACCTGACTCTTAGTGAATGCAGTCAGAACACTCCTGGCCGTGCCCTGCCAAGCTCTTGGCAACCAGTGAGGTCACTTTGTGCCAGGAGCTGGGTGGGACGCCAGGGGAGCAATTTTTTGTAGATACGCCTCTGCCCACACCTCCACTGTGGACATCCACCACCATAGCCTCTCCTTGTCCTGCTTTGGCATGGATCACCACAAATAAACTGCTTAGCTGCAGCTTAGTTTCGTTTAACTTATACAGTAGGTATAGTCCATAAAGGTAAGCAATACAGCAGTGCATGCATCTTATCACAAATTAAGGCACTCAGAAAGCAAGCAGTACCACAGGTCCCCCTCAAAAGCACAGGTTTTTACACATGCAAAAATGTACTCAAAAAACACATATTAAAGAGACCCTGTCACAAAATATGAAGTGCATCACCTTGAGGAGAACACACCTGTAGCAGCTCAGTTAAGAAGAAGTAGGTTAGCTTTAGCACAATCAGGAAATGCTAAAGTTTTGCTCGTAAGAACAGTCTCGATTTCACTTATGACGGGAAGGTTTGGGTGGTGCTCCTCTATATTTCTGCACTTCGTACCTGCAGCACCCCCTCCCTACTTCCTGTGACAGGTTCTTTTTAACGCCACAGACATTTTTGGTGCTGAATTGAATATGGGGCCTCTGAGTTTTAATATGTTGTATTCTCATTTTATTTCAGGAATAAAGTGGAAACATTTCAGGAGAGTAATCTCTTCTCTTCTTGTAACTCTGACTGCCACTGTCCGTCCAGCAGGTGGGATCCGGTGTGTGGGGAGAATAATATAACATACATGTCAGCATGTTTTGCTGGTTGCAAATCATCCTCAGGGACTGGAAAGGCCATTGTGAGTTTCAGCCAGTTCCCATAATCCTCTGTTCTGGATGTGTGGAGAGTTCTATCATCATTATCTTTGCTTTGTGTCCTTGTAGGTTTACCATAACTGCTCGTGTATCGAATCTGTGGGTTTCCTATCGGCCAATTCGTCCGCCAGGCTGGGCACCTGTCCACGCACTGAGAAATGCGCCAGCATGTTTATAAACTACATTATCATACAGGTCATCAGCACCTTTATCTTTGCGTTCGGTGGATCTGCATCCTACGTCATTGTCCTCTGGTAGGTTCACAGGCCTCTCAGGTGGCCACCCATTGGCAATTCAGAGTGTTCAAACTAGAGTTCAGAGAAAAAAGTAATCCGCTCCAGGAAATTTCTATTCAGAGATCATCTGTGAGCTGTGCCTACACATTCCTTCCTATGTACAGGCTTTACAATGCACTGACCTGTCTCCATTTCTATACTGCAGGTCGGTGAGTCCAGAACTTAAGTCACTAGCGATGGGGGTCTATATGTTACTAGTGAGAACGTTAGGTGGGTATGAATGCTGTGGTAGATTCCTCTAAGAGATGATGGGTTGGTTTTCAAGATCAGATTTAGGAACCAGCTCTCTTAATATGTGTTGTTCTGTCTTCCTGTCAAAGGTGGAATTCCCGCTCCCATTTATTTTGGAGCCATAATAGATAAAACCTGCCTGAAATGGGGGACAAAGTTCTGTGGAGGAAAAGGGGCCTGTCGGATGTACGATGCTGAATCCTTCCGGTGAGTGCCTTAATGGAACTTGCGTATCCTTATTTACACTACCAATTCTCTAAGGAAACTTTACTGCAGACAGGCAATTCATTTGAGCAGTTGATCAACGTGTTGAAAATGTTGTGGTGCAATGGGCCTCTACCTAAGGGATTGCTGTCCTTTAAGAGCTAACCTTGCCAATCAAAATGCACTAATTGTTTAGCCTTGATAACATCCAGCAATTTACCTCTAACACTTGGATTAGGGTGGTTTAGAACCTTGGTTCTCAACTGGTGGGTCATGACCCGAAAGTGGGTCATGGCGCCGTGCCCAGTGGGTCGACTCCTCTGCCTCCCCCTAGCGCAGCACTGTCAGTTTTCGCACCGAGCAGCCATTCAAAATATGCTGCCTGGCGCCGATTGTCGACTTGAAGTGGGATGGGCTGGGGCTATGGCCCCGTGGAAGCTCCATCCATACGTGCATTGCTTACATCTCCCTTGCACACCCTGGAGTGACATCACATTCTACCTCCCGATACCTCTACAGGCGCACAAGGGAGCTGTACAAACAATACACATATGAATGGAGCTCCATCACAGCACAGCAGCCTACACAGAACCCAGGTATAGGATCCACTCCAGTTTTCGTAAGAAAGGGAGACTGGGTGGATCTTAAAAAAAAGGAAAAAAATTATGTCTGTGGTTGTGTGTGTTTGTCAGTGTTTTTGAGGGCACCTACCATGCGTTCTGGTGTTGGAGGTGCGTTGTATTTCCATTCATTTGAATGGAACCCCAAATGCACCTCCCACCCACTGTTCGATCACCTGCACAAAAAAGCGCAGTACCGCAGTGCTTTGCGTTCCATTGCAGTGCAACTTGGGTCGTGACTTAATGACCGAGAACAATTGTGGGTCCCGAGGTTACACAGGTTCAGAACCACTGGTTTAGAAGATATGAAGCTGCCTTATTGAGAACAATAAAGCAGTAGCATCTTCTTCCCTTCCATTGTGATATGCTGTGATATGGCTGAATATTGTGGCACGTGTGGGGGCAACATCTTCTGCCAAGTTGTGAGGATTACCAAGAAGGAAGATCTCTCTTCTGCATTGGAGAAATTTTATTTTTTTTACCCCAGGGATGCCCTGTGCTGCCTAATCCTAACCCAATCCTCTTATTGGGCCCTGAAAATAGGATGGAGGCTTAAAAAAGACCATCAATGCATAGCATTAGTCTCTGGGATAAGGCCATCAATGAATGCCTAATCCTAAACCAGTCCTCTTATCGGGCCATGACAACTGGACAGATTAAGACAATTAATGGCCAATCTTAGTCTCTAAAATAAGGTAATCAATTCCCAGTCTTAATCTCTCTATGCATCAATATCTAGGCTAATGGGATAAGGTCAAAAATAATTGGCCTTTGTATTTGGAATGAGAGCATCTGTGTCCAGGCATAATCTCTGGGATAAGGTAATTAATATTGGCCTTAGTGTCTTATAAGGCCATCAATGTTTAGGCATAGTCTCCAGGATAGGGCTATCACTTCCTGACTCTACTCTCTGGAATAGGCCATCAATGCCCAGCCTTAGTCTCTGGGATGAGGTCTGTGATTGGCCTTAGTCTCTGGGGTAAGGCCATCACTGCCCTGTTGTAGCCTTTGGGATAACGCCATCAATGCCCAACCTTACTCTCGGGAATAAGGCCATCAATGCCAAGCCTTAGTCTCTGGGATGAGGTCAATGCTTGGCTATAGTTTCTGGGATAAGGCCATCACTGCCCTGTTTTAGCGTCTGGGATAAGGCCATTAATGCCTAACCTTACTCTGTGGGATAAGGTCATCAATGCCCTGGTGTAGTCTCTGGGACAAGGCCACTGATTCCAAGTCTTAGTCACAGGTAGGCGAACATTTCCCATAGATTTGTTTTATTTGTGCTTTCACTTGTTTGGAGATCCAAATTAAAATCCTGTTTATTACCTTCTGCAGAAATTCCTTCTTAGGTCTCACAACTGGGATCAGAGCCCCATCGTTCATCCTATTCTTTTGGTATATATGTATGGTTAAGAAGAGAGTTTCAAAAAAATCACCAGAAGATGGTGTGCAGGAGGAAAATGGCGGCACCATGAAGAAGGCACACCCAGAAGACGCCACTAAAGAGGAATGTGTAGCACTGGAAGTGGAGAAGGAATCCTGCATGTGATGGAGTTCTATCATGACTACCCTCCCCCTTCCCAGGACATATTACAACTTGTTCAGACTTCTAGTTTGGGTGTCCCGATCAGTGGCCACAACCTTCCTGACTTGACCTACACGCGGTAGTGGAGCATATCAGTGAAAGCTTTAGTCTGTCTTCAGTGGATGGAACTCAGTTGAAGGGGAAATTTCCGACCTCTCTACGCAAAAACAAACATTTCAAATGACCGAATGTGACTTCCTGCACCTTTACATGGCGGGAATGCTGCAATGGATGCTGGAAAATGTATTACTTGTTTTATGGGTCCATATCAGACCAATTGCTATTATATGTCGTGTAAATGATGCAATCAAAGTGTCACACAAAGTGCTGTGTGTGAATAATCTAAAGCTAAAAATGGACCTAGGTGTGAGAGGTGTCACAGTGGGGGAGTGGAGGGGAATATATCCACACAGACACATATGCAGACATGCATAAACCACAGCACATAGTTCTTTTGTAAAGCGAATGATACCTTTTGCCACTGCTGCACCATCACAGGACAGTCTGTTAGCTGCTTTCTGCACATGAACACATGAAGCTCGCCGTGCACATTACAATCTCACTGTACAATTCTCTATATATTTACCAACAACCAGTACAAGGGCTAAGTACAAATCTATTAGTTTACATTGGTCATCATAGTACATAGTTTTAGTAAATCTAAAGGAGATTGCCCAAAGATTGTAACATGTATGTGAGCTCTAAAGGAAAATGTTTGTCTTTGCTGAAATGTCCTCAAAACTGGACTCACAATTCACCGTACAAACCGCTTACAAATATGACGATTTATTGGCTTTATTACAAAACAATGCTATGTAATCATCAGGAGCTGACACATTAATACATGGATAACACTAACCCTAATGCTAACCCTATGTTTATATACAGCAAAGTCATGTGATCACTGTGGCAGCGATGTCATGCCAGTCACGTGGCTTTGTTTACCAACAACCATGTGATCACCATGACAGTGCTGACAAGGTAATCACATGGCTTTGTTTACTAACAAAGGGTTCGGATTTGGGTCAGAGCAAGGGTTAGCATTAGGGTTAGGATTAGCATTAGAATTAGCCTAAGGGTTAGCATTAAGGTTAGGGTTAGCACTTAGCATTAGGGTTAAGGTTAGGATTAGGGTTAGCATTAAGGTTCAGGTGAGCATTAGGGTTAGTATTAGTGTCAGGGTTAGAATTAGGGTTAGCATAAGGATTAGGGTTAGCATTAAGGTTAGGGTTAGCACTTAGCATTAGGGTTAAGGTTAGGATAAGGGTTAGCGTTAGGATTAGCATTAGGGTTAGTATTAGTGTTAGCATTAAGGTTAGGGTTAGCACGTAGCATTAGGGTTAAGGTTAGAATTAGGGTTAGCATTAAAGTTAGGGTTAGCATTAGGGTTAGCTTTTCTTGACCTGCAGGGTTTTGCGTTGGCCAAATCTCACATTTTTACATTTCCAATGCACGGAACTTGATTCTCATAGTCTGATGCATCACCAGACCCCCTGAATGTCAGCTCTCTGGACAACGTTTCCTTCCTCAGCCTCACCTGTCTATGTGACATTTGATGAATTTGGAGTGATATGATCACAGGTTGTTACAGACGCCACAAAAAAACTATAAGAAACTGAGTTGTCGCATGTTTTTGGTTTATTATGTCGTTTTTTGCTGTGCACAGACCTAAAATCCCACCCGCACACACCGAGCAACAAGCTGACAATACTGACATTTGCCAAAAAGTCTGGTATGTGTGAGGGTGGATGTTGGGGGCTCCTGTGGGCTGCTCGGTCCAGGACTCTGTGAATCGTAATGAGTAAAAGTTCCATAGATGTCCAATATCTGTATTCCTGTGCTTGTTATTAACATGCACAGCTTTTAATAAGAATGCAGCTCTTCCCATAAGAGGAAATGATTTACTAAAGAGGCACATCACACCGTGGCACACTGTGTACGCTGCAAACACCCAAAAAGGGGAACAACATAGAGAAGAGAGATGTTCCTGGAACCTGATTGGGTAATTGGTGGACACAGGTCAGGATACGATGACTGCCGGTCAATCTAAAACTTTTTATACAAGACTTAGTGACCCTTTAAAGTGGGACTCCGGGTCAAGTTTTTTATATAGCTTTGGATGGAGTGTGGAAGAGTTAGTATTGCTTTTTGTGTGTGTCCCCAGGAGACATGTCCCCTCACTTCCTGATCTGGTGACTGTGCCCATCTGGAATAAAAACTCTTATACACTCCATCCAAAGGTTAAAAAAAAAGCTTGGACAAGTCTTCTTTGCACTCAAATGTTTTTGTAGGTTTTTCAAAAAGTTTACCAAAAATTCTGGGAAGATCATTAAGAGGAAGAGTAAACACATGATTTAAGGCTGATCTCCAATACTGAACAGGTTCCCTTGACAGGCCACCCTCCCCACACCACCACCACCCCCTCACCCACTGATACCAACCTTCTTCATGTCCCCCTGCTGAGTGCACCTTCCGGGGTCCTTGGAAATTCCTGCTACTTCTGGGTATTAGGGAACATGTGACCCTCTCCCCTTCTACTCCAGGATGGAGTGCTCGGGTTAGAGGGTCCTGATCATTACAGCTTATATCTAATAGGGAACAGGGGGTATGAAGGTCCTGATCATTACAGCTTACATCTAATAGGTAGGGATGCACCGATACCGGTATTTCGGTATCAAGTTCGAGTACTGATATTTTTTTTCCGGTACTCGACGATACCGAATACCGGAAGTCCCATTAAGGAAGCCAGGCGGCATGTAAAGACTTGCCACCCGGCTTCCCGATTAGCAGACAAGCCGCCCCCATGCTTCTCATCACTAGGTGACGAGAAAGCATGGAGCCGGCTTCCCGGCCAATCAGGAAGCCGGGCGCTGTGTAATGATGCGCTGCCCGGCTTCCTGATACCGGAAGTATTGGGCTAGGCATCGGAGCATTTGGGCGAGTATGAGTACTTGCCCAAATACTCAGCATGGGCACGGATACTAATATCGGTATCGGTGCACCCCTAGTAATTAAACAGCCAGCCAGTCAGATCACCTTTGATATAAGTGCCTACTTTAAACAGGCATGCTCACGCCAGTCAATGCCTGTAATTGAGCAGTCATTGGACAGTGCAGATCACAGGCAAAATGATAACAGCCAGTCGTAGTGGCTCTGCAACACTGGGGGGTAATGGAAATGACAGGGACTTGTGGAAGTTCTATAAATACCGATATTAGTATTGGTATCGGTGCATCCCTACTATGAGGTAACAGGAGATATGAAGGTCCTGATCATTACAGCTTACATAGGTAACAGGGGGTATGAGGGTCCTGATCATTACAGCTTACATAGGTAACAGGAGGTATGAGGGTCCTGATCATTACAGCTTACATAGGTAACAGGGGGTATGAGGGTCCTGATCATATCATCTAATAGGGAACAGAAGGTATGAGGGTCCTGATCATATCATCTAATAGGTAGCAGGAGGTATGAGGGTCCTGATCATATCATCTAATAGGGAACAGGGGGTATGAGGGTCCTGATCATATCATCTAATAGGGAACAGGGGGTATGAGGGTCCTGATCATATCATCTAATAGG